TTCTTTCGAAGAACAAGTGCTCTGCCACCAGTAAAAATAAAATACTTATTCTAATCCTAAAACATTCATAGGAATCTTATTTGCTGGAACGCTCTTTGTCAAAGCACTTCATCGTCTGGTATTATCCATCATTTCTGACCTTCCAGAGTCTTTTTTTCTGGATTTAGTTTTTTTCCTGTGAAATTTGCACCCCTCAATTTCAAGTTCTTACGTATTCTACAAGTTCAGAGTCAAATGCCAAGTGTATTTCCGGAATGATTGAACGCAAGATTATGATATGGAAGCTATGACGCTGAAACTTGAAACTCTGCGATCTCCGCTTTCAGTTTATAAATCCGTAAAACAGCATCCGACCCTTTCTTATTTCGGCCTATGACTTCATGTACAAATACAGAAATAAGCTGAAAGCTTATTGTAAATCGATCTAGTCGTTGTTTGTCGAACGCTTGTTAGCGATTACCAAAACAGCTAGTGTGTATATGATAAATTCAATGGTCTTTTTGTTGCCTTTTCATAAAAATTTTACTGCGCATAAATTTACTAAATTTCATTCCTAGAAATAAATTTGATTTGCAAAATTAATTATTTGAGATTTGTTCTTATTTATCTTCCCCTTTCTTAAAAATCCTATGTGTTTAATTTTCTCAAGTAAAAGTAAAAATTTCATTAAAGGGAAGTCAAAGTTTTTAATTATATATGTTGTTAAATCAAATGGACAGTTGTACCTACATAAATGACATCATTTATTTGTGATTTTGAACTGAATTAAAAAAAAAACAAAATCAGCAGACGTTTTCGAGGGAATATTTAGGGAGAGGGAGGCTTGGATGGCAGAGTATCGGTGAAGCACTCTTTTACAACACTTGCTCACACTGGTGCTCGATATCCGTCATGTCCTCTAAAACATTATAACGTTCATTTGAATTATAAATACATTCGCAAAAAGGGACAAAAATGAGTTATCGGCCTACATCCCAGCTAAACACATGTCTTGATGTTACGTAAAAAATCCTCTCTCGCGTCACCTTAGCAGCTTTGCGAGATGGCGCATGAGGGATGAGTTTTTAGGATGATCGCAATAATTTATGCGTTGAGGTGAGGAGCACTGAGCATGATGGAGCAGGTGGAGAGTGTGATGAAGAGGGAGAAGCAAATGAGGCACGCTCGATCGACTACCATCGCTCCGAATTTCCAATCATTCTGCAAGCGTTCCGACTCTTCCTCCTCCTCCATCCGGCGATTGATCTGCAATGCATCCAGCTTCTAACCAGTTCTGATTTCAGGCTTTAAAACTTTGCTTATTAGAAAAAACTCTCTGTCATGAAAGCGCTGACTCATCTGCCAAATATCTCGCTTGTTATACCCCTATGTATTGCCCTCGGAAAGACCGACCAATTGTTACCACATTATCTGTTACTACTTGAGCTACTTCTGAGTGTCTTCAGTTCCTAGTGAGAACGAGTTATTCGAAAATACTTAACTTTTATAGCGGTCGAAGAAATGTTCAAGGTAGAACATCTGTACATATTATGCTTTATACGACTCATCGACGACAGTCATACGGGGATCAGACCCAGATTTTCTTTTTCCAGCCAATTCTCTTTTGTCGAAAATTTTCTCTTTTTAATCTGAGGCAGTAAAAGTATTCGTCAGTTCAGCCTACTAAATGATCTGTGAAAAGGTATTAATTAGGAATAACGTCATAATCATTCTTTTTTTTTTTATATAAATTAATCTCATATGTGCTCGTCGCAGTCCGCTGCTCTTGTAAAATTCAATACCTATTAAATGGAAAATGTAAGGTTTATAAGGGAAAATCGAGAAATAGGAGAGAAATTCGCAGAAACTTTTTAGCCTTTTTCATGTAGTTTAAAGTGGTGTTTCGATCTATGGCAACTGCAAGTTTCGCGCAACAAACTGCAACCCGAACAGCAGTGGGGAAAAAGTCGTATCTAGTTGGTTTTATCCTCTTCTTTCCACTAGGTGCACTTTTCTCACTCAGCTTTTTTTACATAAATTCACAAATCAGACTACTGATGCTAGTATCCTTTGATGCCGTAGAATATTTTGTGCAAAATGATCAAAACTTTTTATGTCACTATGCAAAATGACCGAAGATCGCTTTTTAGCCAAGAATCTCTTTGATTAAGAAAGTCAAAACTCCTTCCGCAATTCACTTTTTGTGCAAGGCGGAAGCAACTTAAATAGTAGCAAGTGCCGATAGCACCCAACATAACGCACCCTTTGGCTTTTCATTTTAGTTTTTACGCCCACCACCTTTTTTTAAAGTAAAACCTTGAACATTCAATTCACTACAATACCATATACTCAAAAGAGCAGTTGTTCCAACCTCCTTTACTTCCATGTAGAGCCGGTGAAGTAGAAGAATCTGTGCATCGGAAGCGCTGCCCCGTGAAAGGATTCCTTCATCGATGGGATCGTAGTCATCGTCTTTGGTCCTGCTGCTCGCTTCTGAATTGGTTATTGCTTCCCCACAACTATATGTTGTGCCAGGGCGTGACATCATCAGGACCCACGGCAACCATTCTAGTAATATACGCCTCACCTACAAAAGTTTTTGATCGGCTGACCTTCAGAATAATGATGCATTACAAACCAAGTGGGTCTAGTTAAAGAAAAGTGTGATTAGCTAGGAGTGAAATTACAAGCTGCGTAAGTTATCCAACTGGGACTCGAATGGGTACCAGTCCGGTCATTTTTTTATTAACTGTTTTTTTTTTTTTATTCTTCTGTATTCATTCTCTACAAGAGCAGAAAGCATTTGGAAACAGTTCAATTTATATCACGTGCCAGCAGCCTATTGATGGCTCCCTCTTTGAAAAGTTGCGCGGGATCAAACCGATGCTCTTTTTCTGGAGCACGCCAATACCAGCTTACCATCGAAATGAATGAACAAATTGTACAAGGACTGGCTTTTCAATATAATTCATGCAGTCTAATTTCAGGTACAGAATAGCACAAAACAGGAATACATACAAGCGGTGACATGGCGTGAGTATCTGGTGTTCGAAAATGTAGATTCAGCACTACCACCGTGAAGACAACGGATGCCGACACTACTAACATGCAGCACGAGAAAAACACCCCTGAACAGATTATCAAGCATGGCAATTTAAAGTCTTGTCATCCTTGTAAAAATTATTTGGCACAACTACATAGCAAGATTTTACTAGAGGGCGCCACTTTCAGTACCTTTCAAAAGTTTGCAAGAATTTCTACTATTTGCCCTCATGAAGGTAAAAAAAGATTACCCCAAGAATATCAGGATCCCGAGCTGTAATTGTGATAGTGCTGTTACTGAAATTCGCCTCAAACACATCGAGCCCTGCTGAGCTAAGCCCTTCGATCCTGAACTGCATACTTCAGCTTAGTACCGCTTATTCGGTCTATGTACGCCACCTCTCCAGGAGTTGTCGAGTGGTTGCCTACTTTCTTATAAGTAACACCCACTAATACGTGTTGTCCGCCGATTTTTGGCGAGGCGAGCAACAGGTTCTGTTCACTGGACTTTACTTTCTCGCGAGCTCATGATGAAACCCTTCACGCCCTCATCTCACGGAGAATCTGACTGTTTATGTAGCCGCAAAGAGATACAGCATGCATCTTTCGCTCCTAGTACTCGCCAAATTTTTTAGTGAAAATTCAACCTATCCCCTCAAATAATATTGGTTGTTTCGCTTTCTTTTAATGCTGCTGATTTTAGTGCAGCATTATTACTATTGCCATTACCATTGACACTAACATTACAGTTCATCATAATTCACAAGTCCACTGTTTTGCTTCCAGATTCCTACGTGCTGATAAGGTTATCAGTTCCGATTCCAGGACTGCTGAAGTAGTTCGCTGAATTCCACTGGTACTTCCCTTCAGCACTGGCTCATCGAGGCGTCTTATCGGTCCCCAATTCCCTTCTTTTTTAGTAAAAACTGCGAAATCAAAAAGAAATTACGTAGCCGGCCCAGAAAGCGCAACTGCTTTGCAGCGACTGGCATTATAAAATACCACTTAAAACTCAAAAAATAATAAAATAATAAAAAAAATAATAAATAAAAATTTTAGAAAAGTGGAAAAACGAACCGATCAGGGGTACAGCTTCGCTGGTTGGTGGCGTCATTTCCGCGACCATACTTAGGAAAAATACTATGGATAACAAAATTGTGATTTCTGGAAAACTTTCATTATGAACGATTATTCAAATAGCGGTTGCTACTACGAAATATGGTTTTTAACTGGAAAGCAGGCGTTTGAAATTTCGGATACCATTCATAAAATTCCTACCCAGTGTAATTTTTTCTCCAGCATCTGGTGGCAGTGTGAAACCGAGCACCGTCATCAACGAGATCAATAAGCTGGGAATCAATAAATTGAAGCCTAAATTCGAAAATGATCATTTGCTTATTGTAAGTTTTGCTTCGAAAATCTCGAATACTTTTGAAAAACAGATCGATTAAAATTTCATGCTATTCAGTTTTTCGGCTTGTCAATTATCGTTTTAAGGCAAAAGTTGGAAATATGACTGATTTTTTCATGGAGAATTTCAAAACACAATTTTAAAATTTTGCCGAAAAATCAATATTTGTTAAAAAAAATCCTTTAAATTTTGGTTAAGTCATTCTTCGTGCATGTGGACGAGTAAAAAAAACCAATCTGGAAAGCATCAGGACTTGCCGTGCGATCATGCGTTTTTATACAAAACCCACAGATCGCTAATAGGAGGAATAATCCATGTGCTGTAGCTTAACACTTGGGCTCATATTGGCCGCGCTCTGGCCTTTTTCGGTATGCAGAAGAAAGGACGTCGGTAGGGATGAAGGTACTACCTTATGGAACCGCATGGATCTCCAGGTAAATGATTACCAGTTTTTTGCATGAAGCCTGATCGTCTCGGTAAACGGTCGCTCTTTGAAAAAATGAACCCAGGCTGGAACGGTGCGATCATGCGTTTTTGCACTAAACTCGCAGATCGCTATTAGCAGGAACTATCCCTACGCTATAGCCTAACACTTGGGCTAATATTGGCCGTGCTTTGATCCGCACCGGCATGCAGGAGAAAGGGCATCAGTTCGGATGAAGTGGTGCACTATAGAGCCGCACGGACATCCAGGTGCATGATTACCGGTTTTTATGCGTTTTTGCCTATATGCAAA